GGTGCTTGGCGCTCTGCTGTATCGTGACTCCATCCCCTGGGCGCCGCTTGCGCTGGGTCGCAGAGCACAAGATGAGGTCCGCAAATCCGAGACGAAAAGAAATATCGTATGTGCGCCATGAGTCTGTCATGGAGAGAGGGTTAAAGAGTACAGTTTGCAGTAGTGAAACCCACATGGTGGGTGGGAGCGGGTCTGCAGGCGGGGGATGTCCTGCGTGTGCCAGAATCAAGGGCCCGCGAACCCCAGGACTGGGCAGAAAGGGTCTGAGGAAGAAGAGGAGGAGGAGGAGGAGGAGAAGGAGGAGGGGGAGGAGGAGGAGGAGGAGGAGAAGCAGGAGGAGGAGGAGGTGGAGAAATTCACAGGGATTGTACTTTATCAGGCCTGGAATTTTCCATCCGTTTTGGCTTCCGGGTCTTGTACCGGGGCCCGCCCTTGCTGCCATCAGCACTGCAGGGCCAGGCTTGTGGGAAACCCGGTCCCAAGGATGTGTTTCTATACGTCAAATTGCGAGCCCTACGCAGCCTACACCTGCGGGTCCGATCGACGGTGGACCAAGCATGCTCGCAAGGAGAAGTCTGTCTCAGAAGGCGGCGGGGCTTCTCAGAAGGCCTCGGCCCCTCTGAGAAGAGTTATGTGCCTTCGGGGAAGGCTTTGGCAAACTTCTCAGAAGGCCTGGGGACTTCCGAGCCTTCTGAGAAGGTCTTTTCCTCCTCACCTCCCCCCGGGCTCGCCGCAGATACACGCAAGAGTGACCCTAAGCAAGAATGACCTTTCGTGCGCGGACGAACCCTGAGATTCGATGTTGCGAAACAAGTGCAATGTTTTTTAATCCGGCGTTTCGACCTAAGGCGGAAAAGGGGGGGGAAGGGGGGTCTGGCTCCGGACCTCTGCGCAGTGCGACTGTTTGCAGGAGTGCTGCCTTTGGGGCAGACTCCACCCGCTCGAAACAGGCGCCACAGAACAGCCAAGATCTGCTCCACAGGGGGTGGGGAGGAGGGGTTTCGGGGCCCGCGCCGATCGGCAAGACAAGGAATAAAAACGATCACCTGAAGTCCGTGCGGGTTCCTGCGGCAGTTTCCTGTCGTGCCGACTTCGGCGTTGGTTTCTGACACGCCGGGGACAGCGTTCAACCTGGAACGATCGGCCGCTTCCGAAACGTCAGGTCGTCCAACATCGACCGACTCTTGGCCGCCAGCGGCGTTCAACGTTGAACGCCGTCGGCGGGGTCGCCGCAGGGCTTCCATCGATTTTGGGTGTGGGAAGGTCACGCTCTCCATCGCAAAGCCATCGAAACCCAAGAAACCCAGGGCACTCCGGAGGCATGCAGGGCGTCTCTTGGCATGGGTTGCCACTGCACCCTGAGGATGCCCCCAGCCTTCCGCTCTATTTTGGAGCCCCTGGGATCCTCTGGGCCTCGTGAGGGGTGCTCTGGAGGCCGTGGGGGCCTCCTTCGAACTCCCGGGTTGAGCAGGGACCGACCGTCCCGGCATTCCTATAGTCATACCACGAGATGTTCTTAGAACCCAAGAATGTTCTAATAACAAAACAATGTTTTTAGAACATAAGCCCGATGCGTTAAAACAAGACAGACTCCGCCAGAAATGTTCTGAGAAAATTTCGTGGGAACCACAAAAGCTTCTTAGAACATTGTTTAGTGGGGCTATAGGCGAGCTGGGGACGCTTCGCCACTGCTTGACCAGGGGGCACCCTGGGGGCACGAGTACTTTTAGCAACACCGATCACAGGGTCGGCGCCCGCCCAACCCCACTCCCGCGTGGCGCCGCCCCGCCGCCTCCCTGTCACCCGGGCACTCCGCGGGGACCTCCGGCAGCCTATGTGTATGCACGGCAGGTTCAGGATGCGATGGCATAGGCCTTGCTTTCGGACACCACGTGGACCATCGCCGCTCCCCGGTGGCGCGAATCGTTCGATACCAGCCGATTCGGGGGCACCGCCCGCGTTCATTCTTGAATGCCCGCGCTGGGGTCGTGCTCGCATCGACGGAGCGCGAAACTTCCGAATGTTCACGCAAGTGTGCTTGATCTCCCGTTCCCTCGGAACCCGTTTGCTGGGCCCTGGACTTATGATGTTCCAACCTACTTTAGCCTTGACCGCCAGAAAGAATCTCGAGCACCGAGAAAGTACCGAAACTGGAGGGTTTTCACGCGTCGGGCCCTGGGACGCGATACTTGTTTGACACTGTTTTGGTACTCTTCTGGGTGCTCGAAATCATTTTTGGGATGTGGTCCTTAAGCACGATGTGAACAACATAGCTCTGAGCCATCTTCTGACGGCCTCACGAATACATAGGCACAAATAAATACACACAACGGAACATCACAGGATTCACCATATGTTCTCATATTTCCTGGGTTTCCGTTGTCCCCCCCCCCACTTCCCATAGTTTCCCATATTATCGGGGGAATCGACGATCAATTGTGTCTGTGTGGTTTTTTCCCTCCTGACCCGCGGCGCTCGAGACCAATACACACGCACGCTGGCCTGTTTGGGCGCCGAGAAGGCCGCACGCGCAGCCCCTGCGGCGGAGCCAGGCATGACGGCGAGAGCGGGAGGCGAGCTCAGCCCTCACGCGGCCACCAGGCGGGGCGACGCCAGCTTCACCCACCACTGCAAGGCGGGGGTTTACCCAAAGGCCCAAGAGGCGCCCAAGACGGCACACGAGGCCCACAGCAGGGCTCACGAGGGGCCCAAGAGGGGCAAGTGGGACTGAAAACTCGAACCCGCCGCCCCAAAAGGGCCCCTGAGGCCGCCAGCAGACGCCCAAGAACCCCCACACCAAGAGGCCCCAGAATGGCCCCAAGGGAGCCCCCCAGAGGCCTCCAAAGCGGTTTCCAAAAGGCCTCCAGAAGCCTCACTGTGGACTTCTTCCCTCTTCTGGGTATCGGCAGTATTGCGTGGCGGGCATTTATCCATATCCACCGCCTGGGAACCGACGTCCTGGTGCCCTAGTGGGCGGTGGATATGGATACATTTTGGCCCCCGGGGGGCCGAGTATATCCATGTCCACTGCCTGCGAGGTCCCCGAGAATTGATCCTCCAGGCGGTGGTCACGTATAAACTCCCGCCTCGGAATCATGGGGGACCACGCTGCGCGCGGATACCACGGCGAGGCAGCCGGGAGAGGGGGCCAGTCCAAACACACAAACACTTCTGGGGGTCGGCGGCCCTGCGCGCAGCGCAAGGCCGCACGAAGCGCAGACACACCCGCACGGACGCACGCACGCACGCACGCACGCACGCACGCACGCGCAGACGCGCGCAGACGCGCGCACACACACACACATACATTTCACACACGTGCATTCACACACACGCACACCACACACAACACACGCACACGCACATATACATTTTTGTTCCGTCGCAGCGCGACAGAGGCAACCCGCACGCGCGCTCGAATAGCTGGGGCATGACGTGCGTATTCCCGGCACGCGTGGGCTTCGCGCAGGGCGACGGGGCGTGGGACCCCGCAGCGCCCAACGGTAACCATAACCATCCGGGCCTGGATGGCGCGACGGGGCCATGAGCGGACGAAACTATGTCGGGAGACTCTTCATGGGGGGGGATCCCATGGGGGGATAGGATCCCAGGGGGGGGGATTCCATAGGATCCCCTGGGGATCCGATGGGGGGGGCAGGAGGGGATCCCATGGGGGGGATCCCCTCCTGCCCCCCCGTAGGATCCCCCCCCATGGAGAGTCTCCCGACTATGGTGAAGGTGAGGGGTGCCATGTGCCAACCCGTGCGAAGGGCGAGGACAGCGAGTAACCGAGAATCGGCGGTGCAGTACGCACTCAAACACGCAGCACACACGATATAAACAACACAAACACACACACACGCACACACACACAACACACATGCACACACACACACGCATACGCACACACACACACACACACGCACGCACACACACAAACACACACACACACACACGCACGCACGCACGCATACATTTACACACACACACACGCACGCACGCACGCTCCCACTTTAGAAAGAGGCGGGTCCGAGCATGGGGACGTTCCAGCGGAAGTCTACGAAGGGTGAACCTAAAGTGTCCACACCCATCTCGCCAATATGATACGACACCTAACTGCGTCGAACAAAGATCCATAGCCCCCGCCCCCCCCCCAACCCAAAGTTGACGGGGTTGGATGCGAGGCAACGCGCGGGGGACAAACTACAGACACTTCAACTTTGGGTCTGGGGGTGCGGGGGGCGACCCACATGTATATTGCAGTTATCGTTGCCACCATGCCTGATTGTCTTCATGCCGTCGGCGTGGACACTTTTGTCTGGGCACCGTAGTCAGGAATCGTGCTCCTTCCTCATCGGGCCCGTATTGCCTGGGACAGGTCGCTCCTGTCTTACTCGCACGTGCTGCGGCACGCGGCGGGGTGAAGCAACACTCGACGCGGTGCACTGCGACGTCCAAGCTAGTGCTACACGCCAGCATGGTCAGCTCCCCGTCAGACCCATCGTCATACACGCAGCCTCCATAGCAGTGCGACCTGGTCGCAACTGCTGGATGGTTTCACTGGAGAATTGATTTCTCTTTCACCTATCGCTGATTCCGTCGCCCGTGAGACATACTAGTCCTCGGCATCTAGTCGGCTCCCATGAGCAAAGGCGTGTCATGACTTAACTCTGGCGTATCTTTCGGGCGTTCACAGGCGCGTGCGAGGTGGCGCAGTCTGACTTCGCGGTCTGGTTGCTCGTCTTCTCCATCCTCCTCATAGTGCGCAGACTGCTACGTCGTTTACCATTCTGGGCTTGTTGTCTCCCTCAACCTGGACATTGTCGTGGAGGCAAGTGCGGTTATGCATAAAAGCCCTACAGCCGTGGTGGCGTACATGTTTTGGGGGGGGGGGCCTGCGGGATTGTCTCAATGCTGTTGAAGATCTCCGATATCAGGAGCGAGGTCAAGCGCAAGAGAAGGACGTCCAGCGCTGTGAAAGTATTGGAGCGTCCACGCTCATGGAGTCGGCAAAACCGATCCGCAATCTCGGGCAAAGCGGCAGCTTGGTGGTGCTCAGGCTCGGTGGCGGCAGCTTAGTGGTCATAGGCGTGGTCGTGCTCAAGCCTTGTATGGTCGTTGTGGTCATCAGCGTGGTCGTACTGAAGCTTGTCATGCTTGTTGTGACCATGATCCTGGTCCTGGTCAAACGTTTCAGAGTGGTTGTGGACATAAGCGTGGTCGTTTTCAAGCAGGTCATACACTTCGTGATCATGAGCGTGGGCGTGCTCAAGCCTTGCATGGTCTTCGTGGTCATAAACGTGGTCGTGCTCAAGCTGTTCATGGTCCTCGTCGTGCTCAAGCTGTTCATGGTCTTCGTGGCCATGAGCGTGGCCCTTCTGAAGATGTCGAGGGTCTTCGTGGTCATAAACGTGGTCGGGTTCAGGCTTGTCATGGCTTTCGTGATCATGAGCGTGGTCGTACTCGATGACTTAAAGATCTTGGTGATCATGCGTGAGGTCGAGCTCATGCCTGTCCTGGTCTTCGTGATTTCGCGTGGAAGCGGGCTCAGGCAGTTTATGGTCCACGTGGTCATGGTTGCGGCCGTGCTGCAACTTCTCAGATCTTCAGGGTCATAAGCGTGGTCGTGCTCAAGCTTGCCACGGTCTTCGTAATCATGGGTGTGGTCGTGCTCTAGCCTTGCATGGTCTTCGTGGGCATAAGCGCATAAGCGTGGTCGTGCTCAAGCTGTTCATGGTCTGCTTGACCATGAGCCCTGGTTCCCTTTCAGGGTCTTCTTGACTTACGTGCGCAGCACACACAAACACACAACACACAACACACAACACACAACAAACAACCACACAAACACACAACACACAACGTACCAACCAACCCACACACACGAACCAACACGCACACCAACACGCACGCACGCACACACACACACACATACATACACACACACGCACACACACACAAGCGCACACGCACACGCAAACACACACATACCCTGTCTGGCTGTCGCGTCCTCGCGCAGAGCGACGAGGCGGTGTAGCACACACAAGAACACACACGCAACACGCACGCAGCACACACAACACACAACACATACACACGCAACATACACGCAAGACACACACAACACTCACAAGACATGCACACACACACACACGCACACACACACACACACGCTTACATGCCCAAGCGGTGCCGCCCCGATGACGCGGGGACACGTTGCCAACTGGCCGAATCGGCGGGTAGGCCCCCACGGTGTCCCTGGCCGTCCTCCTATCGCGGTCCAACGCGCACGCACACACACACACACACACGTACACACACATACACACAAACACACATACACAAACTCTTACACTTTTCGGGCGCGCGCAATCGTAGCCACCCGGCCGTTCCAACAGCCCGCCGCGGCGGCCGGCGGCCGCCCCGATGAGGCGAGGACGACGGTACCGTTTCCTCGAGGGCATGAGCTGCTCAGGGACGCCGGTTCCAGAGTTTGCGCCCCCCTTTCCCTGTGCCCCCTCAGCATCACCGAGGTGAGGTGGGACGCGCAAGGACATACCACAACCCTCGTCAAAATTAACCTCAAAAATGTCTGACGTGGTTGAACTGCTTGTCGGAAGATCTGGGGCCGAGTATCGATGAGTGCGGGGTACTTGCATGCGCCGCCCCTCCAATGTCGGTCGACGTCAAACTTTCGAGTCAACTTCGGTCAGACTATCTTTGCCCTCGCCCCGACATTGAAGGGGCGGCGTGTCGACATTGAGGGGCGCGCCGAAATCGAAATGACGTGCCAGCAACTGTTGAGGTTAATTTTGACGAGAGTCAGTAAGATGGGCCTCTGCTGGAGACGCACGTCCGACCCGAACCTAGGGCACAACATCTTGTAGAGCATCGTTTCCTGGGCGGCATGGCCACAAGGTGCCCGCTACGGCGCTAGTAGCATAAGACTTCCGAGCGTTCGCGCTGCACTGGCGCGGCCGACGCACACGCAATTGAAGTCCGTTTGGGCGGTGCCGACGAGGCACGCGAAAGCAAGACCAGGACCCCCTCCTGGAGACAGCGCCCGCATGCGCCATCAGCCGGCGGGTCGCCATCATTGGTGCCCGCAGGGCGGCGGCACCACAAGCAACACGGCCCCATGCCTGGCTGGAGGGCGCCTGCGGCCTGGCATCAGTACGTATCGAAGGCGGGCCTCTCGGCTGCACGCGAGAGCGACCCCGGGAAAGAGTGACCCGTGGCGTGCGGCTGAAAGGGAGGCCGCTAGAGGACACCACCAGGCGCGCAAGCCGCCGCTATCGCGTCGCATTCAGCGACTGGGGGACCCCAGTGGGTCCGCACCAAAGGTCTCCCCGGCGAAACATCACTCTCACGTGTAATTCGAGCTGCAGGTCTTTCCGCTGTGAGTGCCCTCTTCCTCCTCCTGTCGTCTGCGCCGCCCCTCCCTGCCCTGTCCTGCTCCTGCAACCCGCCAATAAGTTTGCCGAGCGCCCCCGGCAACTCGAGCGCGCGAGCGGATTGCCTCTGCCGAGCTGCGACGCCAAATAACTTCCAGCCGCAACGGGCTGTCCAGTCGTGCGCGGGCATCTCCGGGCAGAAGCGAGACGCTGGGATGGGATGCGCAAGGACATGCTAGTACTATGTGTCCTCCGTGGAAGCGGGCGTCAGACCCAAACATACAATATTACCATGTTGTAATCGATCGTCTCCCGAGCGGTATGGCCAGAAAGCGCCCACCACCGCGCATATATCAGAAGATTTCTATGCGGGCGTGTCGCCCTTGGAAGGGCGACGCGCACAGAGTATTAGTATGGTGGCTCGCTGATGGGATATGCACGGCGACTCGTGGGGAGACTGCACGCGGGGCGCCCCTTCTAGCGCCAGCCGGAGAGCACCCGCATTACGAGATCATGCGGGTGGTGCGCCTCCTCGGTGAGGTGCGTCGTCTCAGTGTCCAGGCTAGCAGCGTTGCCCTGCAACTCCACGCGCGTCGTCTCCTGGTCCAGGACGGACTCAGGGGAACCAGCACCGACACAGACATCAGAACTCGGAGGGCCGCGCGGGCTCCTCGGATCGGCGCTGGGGCCCCCCTGGCGGCGCCTCCACCGCCGCCGCTGGCGCGCTCCGCGCGCCAGGGAGGGGGGCCTGGCGCCGATCCGATGAGTCCGCGCGGACGTCCGACCAATTTGCGCGTATGTTGTTGCTTGTTCCTTGAGAGCTGGAGCAGGTCCAACTGGGCGGAGGAATTGCGGCGCTGATCTGTCAAGGCCACTGTGGCGGGACCTCAGCCACGTCCCCGGCGATCACGATGGACGGCTATCCCGCCGAGAGTTGGACAGTGGCGAGGGGGGCGCCGCGGCCTGCCAGCCGCTGAGCACCAGTGACCCGCAGAGAATGCGGTCCGCACGCCCTCCCCCAGGTGAGTAATGGTGAGCGGTAGCTCCATCGTTTTCTTGTTTGAGGGGAGAGGGAGGCATCCGCTGCCCCTCCAGAGGGCGATCCCAGACGCAGCACACCCCACGAGCGAAGACGATCGCAGGGCATTCAGAATTAAAACATGCAATCGCCCTCAGACTCGGGTGTCGCCGATCTTCAAAGTCAGGCCATGCGGGTATCGCGGGTATCGCGGGTGAGCGGTAGCTGTTTCCCTGGACGGGGTGCCACGGTCGCGCCAGGGGAAGAGGGGCATGGAACGCGTTTCTTCATGTTCGGCGATGACGGGCGTCATGGGGGGTGGGGGGGGGAGGGCGGGGTGGGGGTATGACGTGACGCCCCCCCCCCCCCGCCGTGTGGTTCCGGAACCACAGCCGCGCCCGCGCGCACGACGCGACGAGCGACGAGCGACGAGCGACGACGACGACGCGAGCAGCATGCAGGTGGCGATCTGCCCATTGCGCCTGTGTGCACCACAACGCTCGCGTGCACCACACCGCGCGTGTGCACCACAGCGCCTGCGTACACCGCAACAGCCGTGTGCAACGCACCGCCCGTGTATACCACAATACCTGGGAGCACTGCAGCGCCAGTGTACATACACCGAAGCAGCCATGTGCAACACAACGCCTGTGCACACCACAGTGCTTGCGTGCACCGCAGCGCCTGTGCACGCCACAACGCCTGTCTACACCACAGCATCCGCGTGCAACGCAACGCTGGTGTACACCACAGTGCCTGCGTGCATAGGACAGGTAGAAGGAGCATGTACGTCAGGATCTGCTGCGGACATCTAAACGCCGAGCCAGGAACGTTCTGATAATCGAATGCAGCGTTTTTCCCTCATCCCTCCTCCTCCACCTCCTCCTCCTCCACCTCCTCCCCCTTTTCCGCCTTCTTACCCCCTGTCGTGCGGTTTGGCGTTACAACGCACGTGCGCATCTCAACGTGCACCGCAGAATGGTCGATTGAATCGGTCCACTTGGTTCTCGGACGGCCAATTTAGCTGGAGCCTCCTGGACGCAAATGGGAGTTGGGGTGATGCGGGCGGACTCGGTGGGACTCGTAGATTCCAGCGGCGCTCCTTTGTCCATGAGGATTTGTATTCCATTGTTTTCTCTGGAATCCACAGGCGCTCCATTTTGTCACAAGAATTCCTTCTGAAATTCTATACACAACAATTGTGCTGTGTTGCGCACGGCTGATGTGGTGCACACAGGCGCCGTGGCGCACACAGGCTCTGCAATGCACGCAGGCATTGTGGTGTACACTGGTGCTGTGTTGCGCACGGCTGATGTGGTGTACGGAGGCGCTGTGGTGTACAGAGAGCTGCTGTGCCCGCAGGCACGGTGGCACAAACTGACTCAGTGTTGCACGCGTCTGCTGTGGTGTACATCGGCGCTGTGGTGTACACAGGCGCTGTGGTCCACGCGGGCACTGTGATGTACACAGGCGTTGTGGTGCATATCGCCACGTACATGTTCGTGCTACCCGTCCTCCGTCATTCCTAAGCATTCCCAGACGCCGCCGGCGCGAAACGTGACGTCATCGACCCCCCCCCCAGATGATTGCCGTCATCGGCCCGGACTTAAAAACAGGCCCCAGCCGCGTCCGCGCGCACGACGGCGATGAGCGACGAGCGACGAACCACGAGCGACGACGACGGACGACGACGACGACGACGACGACGACGACGACGACGACGACGACGACGACGACGACGACGACGACGACGACGACGCCTGCGTACCAGACACCTCTGCGGACACCTACGCGGACACCTACGCGGATCCCAACGCGCACGGCGGCAGTGCCCGGAGCGCACCGGGGGGGGGGAGCGTTACGTCATAGGGGGGGGGGGGAGCGGGGGCCATGACGCCCGTCATGCCCCAAGCAATAAAGAAACGGGCTCATGCAGGGCTCGTCGCCGAACATCCGCCCGAGTGGCTGGTCCTGGGCCGCGAATGCGTGGCAAGCGCATGGCCCGGCCACGGCAGCAGGGCGTGAGTCTGGGCACGCGACCCCCCAGGTGCACTTTGTCCCCAATGCGCTCGGATCTGCTTTCAAACGCGGGAAAAGCCAAGATACTGAATGGGCCGCGTGGTCGACGATGACATGGCCACGCCAGGCCAGCGACGCCTCGACCTCCCCGAAGCCTAGCGTAGTTCTGACAGCGATGGGGTTACCT